AGCCAACGTGCACTGAAGTGCTGCTGGCAACGAGAGGCCTAACAGGAGAAGGCCAGGTGCCCTTGACACCTCTCCCCCCGGTGAGGAGGCAGTAGCTGATGCTTGAGATCACTCATTAGCTGCAGAGTAAAAATGCCACATCATTCCTCAATTCCAGTATTTAAATAAATCTATTTTTAATACTTGCTGTCTCTCTCTGACTAGCTTCCCAGCAAGCCCGGAATTTTGGGGTCAAGGTGAGAACATCAAACCACCATAATACCTCTTTTACATTCTGATTCAGACTCGTGTCATCTAACCCATCTGGAGGAGCAAAATACTCACACWGTGGAAACACAGCACCACAGAGGACTGCTCCCACGCAGCACGTATGACCTGAACACTCCTATGCAGCACGTATGACCTAAGCAGAGAGGTAAGTGGGAGCAAGCCTGAAACACCGGTTCTGCCCCATTCAGARTATCCTTTTAGCCATCTCTATTTTTCCCTTTGGTACGCTTCAGGATCATTTTTTTTTTTGTCCTCCAAATATCTTTTCTTAATCATTAAAATTTGCTGTTATTTCTCTATCCCTACCCTGCCTTCATCCTGCAATGCAACTTCCAGTTGCTTTCAATAGCTTCCAGAGATAGCTTTCAGTTTCCTCAAAGATCATTTTCTTTTCAGCTTCYTTCCTATCTTTCCTGCACATTGTTCTTAGCTTTAGTTCTTGCTGCTTTCTAGTTACTGAGAATAGCATAATAATATACATATATTTCTGTTTATGTTGCTAGCCAGACAGAAGATTCCTATGAAATCCAGATAGGCTTCTTTACTTGGAAGTCTCACTGTATCTGTTCTGCCTCTAGTTTAGATGAMGTCTCAGTAGTCCTGGACAAGCCTCCTACGAGGACCTGCTGCTGCAGACGTTTCTGGGGCTCAGCWGAGAGCACCAAGGGGAGCACGAGCAAACCCTTGATGTCATTTCACGCACCATTTTGGAGAAGGTGGCCCCTCTAGCAAGCAGGTCTCTCACTGGGATTGCAGTCTGGTTTCCTCATGAGAGGAGGAAGGAACGCTAGGACTAGTGCTGGACAGAGTTGTTCTAAGACTGTTGGGGTATAAGGATTTTTAAGTGATTCTCAGTCAGAGTTCTTAACCTGAAGTGCCTCAAGTGCACTTAAAGTCAATACCTAGGATACTTCTGTGGTTTCCTTTTTCTCCAAAAAGCAAGGAATTTTACAGAGGAGGCCAACTTTTTGTTTTTTACTTTTAGTTCTGTKGATTTTCATTACTTGTAGTTTGGGGGCTAGCTCAGCAGAAACACACAAGTGGTTGCAAGCACATTATGCAAGCAACTGTTTTCTTTCCTGCTACRTTTTATTTGGTATCATTTGAGTCAGAAAATACTCTGGATCCCATTCTAGGCCACAAGCCAAGACTGAGAAATAAGGCTGCAAGGAAGACAATTCACAACCACAATATTGTTTGCCTTGGAGGACTCAGGAAGGTAAAGGCTGCAACAGGGATCCAAGATGCTCTAGGCAGCAAAGGCTGATTTTAATCTTYCTGTTACTTAGCAAGACATCCACCTTGCAGAGCCACGGGGGACATGGCAGGGGCAACTCTTCCTGCTTATGTCAGAGAGGAAATGACAACAGGGGCAAGCGTTGATGAGCCATCAAGGTGATCRCTAGAGTAGGTAGCATGCATATGAATACATGCTTTGTTCAAGAAAATAAGCGGCAGCAAATTAAAAATATGAATGGTCAAAATGGGAGGAAAAAAAGCCGTGTTCTAGTTGGTTGGGAGTTTGTAGCCAAGAAGACAGTAGTCTTTGAACACATTCACTGCAGGAGAAGGTGAAAGAGAAAACTGTTTCCCTGCAGTTGGGAAATAGTAACTAAGTGCAAAGGAAAAGAGGCAAAGTACRATAGGCTGAGGCTTGGATTCTGCTCAAAGAGGAAGAAAATAATAACTACTGCAGTGCTACTAAATTGTATAAAGGTCTCAAACTCTAAGATACATGTTTCTGAAGGAAAATAGTGTGTAGAACAAAGTATATACTTGAAGAAAATGCCTCTAATTTTCTGACAGCTGATAAAGCATATGATGAGTGTTTAAATGATTTAGGAGATARAATGCAATGAAAATTAAACTAGGGGCTGAAGCACAAATTGCTCTACAGGATTATATGAACTCTCTGGTCTATACTCCAGTGCGGTTGTGGTTTGAGCTGTTCACAAAATATTGACAAAAAATGGCATTTTGATGAAAGAAAAACCTCTTTCAGAACTGTTTGTGATTTCCTAATCCAGTCTACACTCCTAGTGCCACCCATCTTTGCAAATGCTCTGGGTATGATCCAAGCCTGTGAAAGCAATGGACAAGATCCCACTGGCATTCAGCAGGTGGGACACGAGTGCCAAGCTGGGGCCGGGATGTCTCTTGAAAGCCCTATCTCTCGCTGCAGATCCCAAATACATTTCTAGGCCTGAAATAATCCTCTGTAAAACAGCTCCAAAGGCTTTGGTTATTTTATGGTCAAACTTGCTAGTGCAAACAAAACAGCAAAGACCAAAGTAGGAAGGCAATTATGAAATGAAAACAGCCCAGTATATTCAGCGGGAAGCTCGCGTGCTATGCTGCCCAAGAAGGGAATGTAAATGTTACCATCCCAAAGCAGCAGCTGACGCAGCGTTTGCAGCTGACGGCACCATTTCTGCCAGCTTGCTTCCTGCTCAAACCCAGGGCTCCACGCTCAGTGACACAGCCAGCGCTGTCGCATTTTCTTATTTTTCCTCTGAAATTCAGCAGAGAGCAAACTAGATAAAAAAAATGGGCAAGTCCTGAAGAGCCACAGTACCCAGGAGTGCAAAAGGCCAGGAGTGTTGATCTGCTCAGGTGACCTGTGCAGGTGCTCTGGCACCTCAGCAGCTATCCTGTGTTCTGGAAGCAGTGGGTAATTTGTCTCACATGAAAATAATTTACTTCAAAAGAACCAACTGCCAAAGATTCAGTGTCTTTAAAACATAACAGGTGGCAGGTTGATCTCCCCCCTGCGCACCTTCTGATTCAGCTTGAGCTTCAACTTTCTTGCGCTGTGCCAGGAACCAGCCTGTGCAAACTCTACAGCAGGCACGTGTACCTAGCAAGTGAAAAAGAGATGTCAGTCCTGCACCTAATTTCTACTCTAGTTTGTGATTATTTTACTGAATCTCRTCCCACAAATATGCAGTAGATATACCAAGGTGAGTGAAACATCAAGGAAGTATAAAAAAACAACAACAACAAAAAAATCTGTCCTTTCAAAAAGGCAAGTAAAACTTCTAGTACTGATTGTTGCAGGATGACTTCCTAAACTATATCCAGTCTGTAACACTGATCATCTTCCTGGGAGGGGAGGAGAGGGGAGAAGAAAAAAAACAGCTTTGAATTTATTCCTCTTTGTGCTTTCAGCCCTTTCCTGGGTCATATCTGGCTCTGCAGACAGTCACTAGCGGTGCCCGCAGCCATTTGACAGCCCTTGATTCAGTGCTGAGGAAAACTTTCCAATGGAGAAAACACAGATCAGCATAACCTACCTCCATCAGATTTTGAACCACTCTCTCCTACACTCCAAAACAAGGAGCCCTACGAACTTTGGGTAAAGGATAGATTATAGATTTTTATCTCCTGCTTTTGCTGAGCTCTAGTAGCATTTATTTTCCCTAGAYGAGGGATTTTTGACCTCTCTGGTGGGCTGCAGTCCCCCTGCAGCCTTTCTCCCTGGCAATCCACATATGGGGCATTTTTCCCAATTTTCCTGCATGCGTTCATAGCCTTTTACAGAAAACCTATCCCCTCTTAGATGCAGTTGAAATGAGTCAGATTCAGGCACTGTGGGGAAATGTCATACATAAGGCACACTGACAAATACACACATGAGCATGTGTATATGCTATATGCCTTTTCTTTTTTTCCTGAGGAAATCAGCTTAAAATTATGTCTAGCAGGATGACATTTCCCTCCATCAGTCATAATGAACACATGTACTCCTATTTCATTCATAGTTCCAGGAAATAATAATACATTTTGCAGTAAGAAAGTTAATCTGTCAGGATTATAGCATTCAAAATGAGCTGCAAAGAGAAGGAAATAACCATAAAGGATAAATACATGTAAACTAATTGCTGGCTTTATTTTATCAAGCCACAAAAATGTAAAATACTCAGCTCCAGGGATTCTAAATGGATTGAACAATGTTTTTTTTTTTTTAAAGAAATCTTTCATTTGTTTTCTTCTAGGATAATGAGTAAGTGCCCCCAGGACAGTCTTGAAAGGAGATAATGCATCTCAAGTGCTGATTTCCTTTTTCTGGCAACATATTTTCACTGTAGAAGTATTGGATTAAACAAGTAGCCTGACTGGCTGTCAATACTGCAGAGCAAGTTTACCAAGCGACCTGAGCTGCGCTGCTCAGCAGCAGCTTTCTTTCAGCATTCAGAACTGTCAGTTATGTTTTCTTCTCATGTGAAAACACCATTTTCTCTTCAAACTTAATACACATCTTCCTAATAAAGCAGTGCTAAAATCTACACGCAGCAGTACAGAGCCCGCTCTTTCCAGCCCATTTTATTTTCCTAAGTTTTAAAAAAAACCCCTTTCCTGTGCTTGCAGCAGAGGAATGCCTGTGCCTGGCTGGACTCTCTGTCATTGTTAACACTTTTATGCAACAGAGGGAACAAAAATGCAATGACAAATTGAGGGAAAAGTATGAGTAAGCCAACTAGGAAAAGAACTGGTGACTGACAGATCTGGGTTCACACACGTTTCTGGCACTGACTTGCTGAATGGTGGCAAATCAAGCCCCGCTGCTGCTGATCCCAGCTAATCTGGCTGACGAGCCTGGAGGACCTCAGGCAGGAAGCGCTGACCCAACGGGAAACCCGACCCGGCAGCAGCTACTGCAAACCAGGAGCAGCAGCAGCAGCAGCCTCTCCTGCAGGGCTGCAGCCAACCTGAGCATGGGGTATTGGTTTCCCACTGAAAGCCAGGAAAGTTAGGTTCTTCGTGCCTCAGTTGATGGAAATAGTCCCAGTCTTCTGGAAGGAGAAGATAACGCTGAAGTTTACACTGCTCCAGTAAGTCCAGCTGCCCTCCAATTCACCTGGCTGCCCCACAGAGCGATCACTTGTCCACCGACTTACATGAGCTGGGCTAATCAGGAAGGCTCTTTCCTATTATTATAGTAATGTTGATATATTTTTAAATATTCTTTCTGTAATGTTTCTAAAGAATCATACATACATACATCTAGGTAAGCACATACATCTAGTACTGCMAAGTCACTGTTGTTATCTATGGGATTCTTAGAGAAGTGTGTATGTCCCTCTAACATTTTGAGATTTCGCTGTCATGTCAGAGACGGCACCTCATGGTGACTGGTCTGGAAAGCTTCTTAAGGCTTAGGCATGTTTGAATGTGTATAAAATAAAATTGCCAATGTAGTAAAAAATACGATATCAAGATATCTTACTAGTTTTATGGACATCAACTCCATTTGTTATATTAGGAAATTCACAATCTAACTATGATTATGCAGTAGAAAGAACATATATTACATATATACGCATCCCTGCAAGTACTGCTGTATTATGGCTCAGTTTCATTGAATGTATTGATCCTTATAGCATCCTTTTAAAATCACTAACCTTCAGCAAAGGGAAAACATGCTAGCACCTTAAGAAATGTTGATTTATGAACTCCAGTGGTCTTTATTTTTCTTGTAAACCTGGGTGGAAAATTGATCAGTTATAAGCCTGCTATAGATCTCTCAGGTTTGCAAGATACATTATTGTATTTCAAGATTCTGATATTGCAAAACATTCCCCCCTCTTTTTTTTCCCTTTAAGGATAGTCGCACAATTTCTTGTCTCCATATTTTTCCTACACTTGCTTGAGAAGCTATTGAAAAATAAAAACAGAGGAAGAAACCAACCCTGGGGAAAGCAGCTTCRGGCCACCCCAGGTTTTCTCAATCCATCATAATATGGGTTTTATTTCATACCCCACTGAGGTGGAATTTGCAGAATGTTTCTTGAATTACCATGAGGCACTCTTATGAGACAATTACTGTCTTTTTTCCCCCTTTTGCCTCACTCTGCTTTTGACAGCTGTTGGCATTTATTATCTAGCCAGTGGACCCAGCATTACTTTTCAGTGAAGAGYTCTCCTGTAGGATACACATAGCTAAACTGTAAAGTAAAATGTGCGGGCTAGGGCTGTTCAAAAGGAACATGCATATCCATTTTGTAGAAAATAAATATATCAAAATATTTTGAAATCAAGTTTTAGACAAAGATTAAACCTAAGTTATAAAATTATAATTATAAAAATGTACTTTGAAAATGTCAGGAAAAAGAGAGCATTGACCTTTTTATCATGAAAAATATCTTTCATTTCAAAATGCCAGCACTGTTGATAGTTCCAAATCCAGGTTGCCCCAGCTTCTTCTGTTTGGGTAATGTTGTGCAGATTGGGACCTTTCATAATATTCCCTAAGTCTCACCTGTCTTGAGAAGCTCCCAGATTATGAAGTTTATCAGTAACGCATGGTCAAACAGCAATACCTGTGATATCTGCAGAGATATCTGCATCTTTCTTGATCCTTTTCAATGTGTATTTCAGACTTGTCCTGAGACACTGCTTCTCTTTTTATGTGGCACTTACAGCACTTTCTAGGAGCACCTGTTTTCCACCCGTCCTCAAATCAGGAGCCAACATTATGAGGTAAATCCTTCGTGTGCTTTTTGCTTGAGAAGAAACCTTCTGGATCCTGGCCAGCATGTAAATATACTGCTTCCCAAGTGCTCCCTCCCSAAGTCATATACTAATTATTTTGCAGACACTGAATAGTGCTTTATTCATCTGGAATTTCCATTGATGGATATACTTGAGAGGTTTGGAAAATTAAGAGTGCCTTTACTATAAGCACAGGTACTACAACCTAAATCAACCTAGCTGTGGACTCACATTGAGGGTTAAACAAGGACTTCAGTTAATGTTCACATTAACTAGAACTAAAATAGTTCACTGATATTTGACATGCATCAGAACCAGCTCTTCAGACATATATGGAACAATTATTTTGCAAATGTTATTCATTTTTACCAATCTCATGGGGTTTTTTTGGCAATGATTTTCTTCTGGTCACAAAATGACACCTCTCTTTGAGAAATTACTGAACACAAGTTTGATGAATATATATCAGAAGAAATCTTCGGAACTGAGATTTTATATGGTAAAACCTCTAACTAGTTTAATAAGGTCACTTACATCACATGACAACATGGACCAGACAGAGTGTTGGTCCAGCCCAGCTGGTTCTAACCTTCTTGCCACCCTCTATCTATCATGAAGGTGTCAAATACACACACAAAATAAAGAACTCCTTCAAGGAATTCCTTCATCGAGCATCTTACAGAAACGCCTGCTGGCTGGAAACACTCTTTACCACAGGCAAGTTTAAGTGTGTAACACCGTGATTTGTTAGGTGGAAGATGCTGTATGACAAAACACTTCAGGGATGCAATGCTTTTTGCCAAGCAGTTGAAACTGTTTTGCTGATAAATGCTCATGTCTCRTACTATTACCACTGTCACACAGGTAAAGCTTGATCTGCTGACAAAACCTTTTGTGGCTGTCTCTTAATCTATTCAGTAATCAATATTAATGCTGTCAAACGTCTCCAAACATTCTTTTTAGCTGTTTGTTTCAGTATGCGGCAAATACACATACATATATATTTCACTCCATGTATTCATTCTGTAAGTTTATATATATTTCACTGCAAGAAATGTTAGTAATTGCTACAAGCCAGAACGTAACCAAGATGAACACTCTGGCAAAGAGCATGCTATTAAAAACTGGAAAAGCAGGAGAGGCAGCTGCACAGATAAAGTTGCTGGTCTTTGGAGTCCATCAGAATCTCAATATAATCAAATAGTTTCATTTACCATCTTTGGAATCTGAACTCTGCCTCATAGCAGCAAGAAGGGACAGGGCTCAGTTTGCACTGGAAAACAGCCCAGCCCTCTCACAACTSAACCCTCCACATCACAGTTATTTATGTAGCCAGGGAGTAAAAGATACAGTTCTGTGATCAAATAATAGATGGTTTGCCTTTTCCTGCTGTTTCAAAATATTAAAATAAGCTGTGATGATGCATTAYCCCAAATGCTAGACTGTACCCTCACACCTAATCACTCCACGACAAGTGTTGCTGAAGACGACCTTTCCAGATTAATCATACCAGATGCCTTGACTCCTTCACACTGCAGCAGATTCCATTTTTCTCTTAAACACATATTTTCTTAAGGCTGTCAGAACCCCGAAGTTAAAAGAAAATTAGCATGTGTCTTGGCTTAACTGAAACCTGAAAGGATCTAACTCTTATGTCTTGGAGACCAAATGAGCGTAACTTTGTAGAGCTGGAGTTTTTACAAGCAGACACTGCATTTTAATAATTTATCCTCTCAGAGGAGCACATTGTACCTTGAAGTAGAGCCTGAAAGGTTTTACCCTATAGGGAATGGAGCTACAACAAAAGAAAACTGAAAGCCATTTGGCTGCTGGTGACCAATTCAGAGCTCGAATTGGCCAAATTCCACACACCAGCACAGAGACCCACGCACACAGTGCCGGCAACCAGCTCCCCCTGCCAAATTGCAACCATATTTATAAACCACTCAAAACACTTGGGCCCATTTTTGTGGGAATAACAAACATAAAAATAATGAAAAACCAATATTTCTTTTAGGAAACAAAATGCCTCTCTCCCACGCACCCAGTAAAAGAAGTCACACTGCATTTCCTGTTATTGAACTGAACAATAACAACCATTAACATTTGCAGTTCCTTGAAAAGAATTTTTTGAATAAACATACTAAAAAACTATTAAAGTTTGGATAGCCTTTTTTGACTAAGCCAAATAATATCACTTATACCTGACTTTGTTAGCAAGCCCTCCTCCTAATTTAAAGCACACCTGGGCTGGCAAAACTATTGTTTCAACATCAGAGATGGTTTATTGTCTAGTATGAACAGAAATTGCATTTAGTAGTGGCATAAAGAGGGCTTTATACCTTTGCTATGTGGGTATGAAACATCATTTCAACAACGAATCTCTCTTGATGCTTTAATACTACTGCAAAGAACAAATTCTTCACTGATAATTTTAAGTTACCTTCAAATCATAACAGCATATAAGCTCATCTTTTCAACATACCTTTTACAGTTGAGCATAAACAGGTTTGAGGGCAGCCCAGTAGCTAGGGACAGCACTACATGCTCATACCCCATGAGACCCTCCCCTTTACTGCTGTGCTTCACAGAAATYGAGAAATTTGTATCACAAGAGTCCCAATGCTGTAAAGGTCAAAGGCACCAGCTCCCTCCACTGCTAGGTCTGTCTGCAATAACCCCCTTCCTTCCTGGAGGATAAGTCCCACATGACCCAAAAACATTTTTAACAGTATCAAAAACCCAGACCAAATCGTGAGKTTTTTTTTAAAATTGAAATAACAAATGTTTATTGAAGGGAAGACGCAGCTTTAGCAAAAGAGAGGAAGCAAAAATTATCCACAGAAAGGTTGGGTGAAAGAGGCAGAGAARGGAAAAACTAGGCAAACATGGACTGCATGATGGCACTTGCAGTTCTGAAATGTGAAGCAGAGCTGCAGTAAAATGACATTAGCAGCTTTCATATGATAATCTGTATAGAAGGGAAGGTTGTTTCTGGGTGGAGCACTAGCCAAGACCAAGTTCACTGAACCTAGCACACCATTCAATCAACCGCCAAGCGCACAATGAGACACGGAGACACGGGGACTTTTATTTTGCCTGGGTAGCAGGCATGATGGCAGGGGGTGCATGTAGGAAGCATGGAATATGCAAAAGGRAAAATTCAAAAAACCCTAAATATTTGGATTCTCTCTCAATGCTTATATTTTATTTATGCCAATAAAATTGCCCCTCCTGCAGTGTCCTACAGGGTGGAAAAATCAAGCAAATGCAAGTTTATATGGTACATGTAATATATAAAATAATGAAAGAAGATAGTGGCAGTCTGCCAAATTCCCCTCTGCCCATACCCCCTCCGCTCCCCATCATTGACTTTCAAAGAGGATAAGATTTCAAACAAAAAAAATCTACCCTGACTTCCAGGAGATGCAATGAGAAAGGATTTACTCTTCGTTGTGTTTTCTAAATAAATTCAAGTTTCATCTAGTTCCTTACAAGAAATAGGTCTCCTTAGCTTGCTGGGACATACATGCAAGTTGGGATTTTCTTGCCCATGTCTTTTATCTAGGRTTTTTTTGTCCTCTTTAATTCTCTCTTCTGGCACCATTTTATTCTTATTTTAAAATAAAAGCTACAACGGCTGTTCTATTTTCATGGAAATTGCCCACTAGTAAGAATTTCAGCTCATTTCCAGAAGAATAATCTTGGGTGAATTGACAAGCACAAAGATGCTTGCAGACTTTCACACAGCAATTTACTAATTAACAACAAATTAAATAGTCTATTAGGAAGACTTCAGAGATGCTGCACAAAGTTAGGGATTCCTGATGTATCTTCAGACTACTACAGTCTATTCACATGAAAATATAGCTGTTAACATTTTTGGAGTTTCCTGGGCTGCCCAGCAGAATATAATCCCCTTTTTGATATATAGGCACATATTCCTTTAGCC